ATCTGTTCCGGGTTTTGTTATATTGGATGGGGATGTTTTCATATCTTTATTACATGGACCTATGTGCAGCTCCAGCTGTCAACAGGTGAGGTGGATCTGGAGGGTCCTACCTTGCCCTAGGAGATCAAATTAAGGAGTTAAATAATCTGTCATATCACCTGGGTCTGGTTTACCGGATTGGTGGATTTAAGTTCCTAAATTCATCCTCTTCCTTTGCATGTAAAGCAGCATCTAGTCAGTGAGATCTGCTGGGGCCCTGGTGTGTGTTAGTAACCTGTGCGCATCCCAGCGTTGGGAGGACGTGCAGCATTCGGAAGGAACGGTGCACACGGAGAGATCCCACCGGGGACCGGAGCACCCTGTACAAAGTCTGGCCATGGTTCGTGTCTAGGCAGTTGACAGCCAAGGCACTGATTTGAGCATTAGCATAGTTCTGTTTTGTGCTAGACTGAGTTAAATCTCCCAGAAATACAATGAAAATGCAACACAAAAAGGGGGTGCTCAAGGAGCTGCTGCCCTTACTGAAAGCGGCTGTGTTTCATGCCTACACAAACATTTAATTTTTTCCAAGGGAAAATATCTGAAAAGGAGTTACCTTAAAAAAAAAAAAAAAGGGCAACAAAACCCTAAAACTGGAACAATATTCTTCTCCACTATAAAGAAAAGAAAAATAACCTGAAGGTAGAAGATATATTAAGGCAAGAGATATGTAACAAATAGTCTTTTTTTCTTGAAAAAAAAAAATCTGCAGTTGAACTATTTACTTTGGAGAGTGGCTCCAGCACCGCTGCTTTCTGAGCTGTTGGTCGCAGGTACCTCTGTGATCCAGGACCCCACTCAGCCCCCACTTGGGAGCACCCACCCACTTGGGAGCAGGTGGAGTGGTCGACGGGGCTCATCCAGCTGCCTTTGACTGCCAATTATATTTGTACCTATTTCAGTAAGATAGCATATGTCACGGTGAGAGAAGAAGGCCATTTGAAAGAGGCAGCTTTTATTATTTTTCTCATTTTCTCTTACATTGATAAATAAATATGAGCCTCTACTGAAAATGTTTTCTCAAATAATTTCAGCCCGCATGTCATGGTTTTGTTAAAAATAAATAAAAGTTTTAGAAAAGCAAATATTGAGAGGAATGTGTCCTTGGATACCTTTGAAATTTTCTCTAAATCTGTCATTGCAGAAGTAAGATTGTGCCTGAGAGGCAGAAGGAGTAGATGGCAGGAACCAAAAGTGAAACTCTGCAGTTGCATTTCCAAGCTGAAGGAAATGTGGGTTTAAACGGGAGAAATTCATCACGATTTTTTATTGTCATTTCAGTTTCAACTGTTCTATAATGATAGAACATACTGATAAATGCACTATTTCTCAGATGATAAAAGCTATAATAGCAGTATGGCAAGTGCAGCAACGGTTGCCTCTAAGAAATGTGAAGTGTCCTTTCCTCCAAAAATTATTTTGCAATAATTGCAGAGTTTTAATGATAATGTTTATTATTTCTTAGTATTTAGCCCTTGTATTTTGTGGTTTGTAGTGTTTCTTTTTAAGCGTGAAGGTCGGATACTTAATCTTTCTTTGGCATGTTAGAGTGTTGTAAAAAAGGTGGATGTTTGGAGTGTACTCTCCTCAACATGGCGTAAATCTGCAAGGTGCTCTACAACAAACAAAGTTCAGGAGAAATGTTTGTGCTCAGATTTGCCAGTTCAAGGAAGATTTCTGTCATGTGGAGACAGTCCAAAGAAGAGTGACAAAATGATGGAAAGCACAGCTGAAGAAGAGCTGAAGGAGCTGGAGTTGTTACACCTAGATAGGACTGGAGAAAGATCCCGTGAGTCTGGAACTAGGCAGAGAGGGCTGCAGAGAAGAATGGTGCGGGCAGACTAGGCCAGCCTAGACTTGGGTGACACAGGCCTTGACGCTAGGGAGGGGACTAGGTGGCCTTCAAATGATGTTTGCCATGAAAACTGTGATTTATTTGTTTTTAACGACCTGCTCCCAAGGCTGTGGCTCTCAGAGAAAAAGCCAAGTGTGATGAAACCCTCAGTCAGGTGAGACAGGGCCAGGAAACACTGGGAAAATCCCATCTGGAGAGCCAGAAACTGCTCACCTGGACTTGGACAGAAAATCTGCTCCCTCGGAGGTGTGTTGTATGGCTGGGAGAGAGGAAGAGGAAGAGAGGCAGAGCTGGTCTTCTTCCACGCCCCACAGCCTCTGGCCATTTTTGATGCCTGTTGAAATGCTGCATGATCTGCACCCAAATACCAGAGTTGTGGTACATACAGCAAAGCTGGGGACATGTTAGGAAAGAGCCTCTGCTACTTTTTAGCCTAAAATGCAGTGACAGTGCTTGCAGATTGCTGTTTGGATCACTGTTTTCCGATTGCTTTAAGAAGACAGGCTGCTTATCCTTGGCCTCATTCAGAGCAGGAAGAAGTGGAGAAAAGAAGCAGGGAGATAAAAAGAAGGCAAGTGATTTCATAATTTATATGCATAATTTGCTTGCAGCAGGCTGAGGCAACCGTTTGCCTGTTAGGAAGAAAATGGCTAAAATAAAGTATTTTCACAGTTAGGTTAATACTGTGTAAGGAACTGTAGGAGACAGGGAGAAAAGTAGGGCAGCTTGTTTTGGAACTTGTTCTGAAGAGCAAATAAAAACCCCCAATGTACACACTCGGTTACCATATGTCGTGCTTATCATAAAAGGCATCTCGGTGCTATTTCTTTGTAGGGATGCTTGAATGACACGGAAGCAGCCTGCGCCGCTGAGGAAAACGCCTGCCAGGGGTTCTGGGGCTGCCGTTTGCGAGACGTCCTTCGTGCCTAGCGAGGCAGCGAAAGCGGGTGGCCAGCTCGCTCCTTCCCCAGCTTGCCTGCTTGATTGATGTTGGCTCCCAAATTGCTGCAGCCGTGCCTGAAGAAAAGCAAAGGAGCCTAATTTTTCTGCAAGAATTTTCCTGGCACGGGAAGGCATGTGGTGTGCAGAAATGTGCCAGGGAAGAGCCGCTTAGTGCCTGGAAGTGCAAGCTCAGATGTGAGCACAACTCCCATCCAAGCCATGCTGTTGTGAAGTCCTTCTTTTTTTTTTTTTTTTTTCCAGGCACCTCTCGCTCAGCACACGAGGCAGTCTGTGCTGGAGGCTCCCATGGCAGTGCTGTAGGCTGCGCTGGACTAGTCGCTGCTCTGTCATTGCTTCAGCTGTCTGAAGAGCTCTGAAGGGAAGATGTTGGACTTAAGCTTCCTGACCGAGGAGGAGTATGAGAAGCTGATGAAGGTTCTGCAGAGGGATGCAGAGCTGAAGAAGAAGGACGGAGATCGCATCAGGTGAGAGAGCACTCAGCAGCAGCAGGCTCTGAGCTCCCAGTGCTTGGAGCAGATTCCGCAGCTTTTTTTAGAGAGAAGGAGCGTGTGTGTGTCTGTTTGTGCCTGTGTGTCTGTGCATGTGCAGGGAGAGCTGCAGCCTGCGGCAGTGCTGTCTCTTTGTGCTCACACCTGAAGGGTGTTTTTAGTTACCCTCCTGCTTTTTCAGCCCTCCTGCTGTTGCTGCCATCCACTCTCTGCAGGGCTGTGGGGCTAGACTCTCCTTCTAGTTAATGAGTAGCTCTGAGAGAGTGAAGGGGCATCCACCCATTCCCAGCTCTGGGGAGGAACAGGCTGATTTCTGAGTGCTCGAGGTCAGAGTAGAGGAGTAGCTGCTACCTTGTTTTCCTCAACAGGTAGCATAGAAGTCCCTTAGAGTGTTTTTTAAATGAGACTTTCCATCCCCGTCTCTTCTGAGGATCTCTATGGTGCTCTTTGCTGTGGGTCCATTGGGATCAGCTGCTGGGCAGGGAGAGGCTGCAGCATCTGCTGGAGGAGCCGCCGCAGAGCCAGGAAGAGCTCTCGGCTTCGCCACCGGGCACCCCGGCGCTCGGTCTGGCTGAGCTGCGTTGCTTGTTGCTGCTGTCACTTTTTAAATGCCAGCTAGCGGAGCATCTGGGCTGACAGGGTGCGCCAGGCTTAGGAAGCTGGCGGCGAGCTCCCCGCTGGGAGAGAGGAGAGGAGAGGAGCTCCGTTAGTACAGGTGGCTCGGTGTCTGTTCACCACAGCGGAGGATGCGAGTCTGTGACTTGCTGTTGAGCCAGAAAAGAGCAAGTGCCGACGTGAGAGCTGCTCGGGGTTGGAAGGGACCTGATGCCTTTGCAGCAGGCTCTGGGGAGTCTGCGTGTAGGGGTCAGGGCTAGAGAGCCCCAGAACTGGGAGTGACACAGGAGCAACTTGGGCTTGAGGTGTATGTGTCTGCAGCCTCTTCTGTCTCCCCAGATAGTGACATAAATGACCATCCGTTTATTTTGCTTATTTTCTTTTTTTTTTCCTCCTGAAATGCATCAAAAATTCTGTGGTGGAGGTTTGCAGCGAAAACCATGTTTAAATGTTTTCAGTTTTGTTTGCTTCTTTAGAAGCTACGGCACAAAAGACTTTTGTTTGGGAATGACATGAATTAGATCCTAAGCAATGGGTCTCTTGCCATTAGTATGGTTAAACCCGGTAAGACTTTTGGTGCAAATGCAAAGGTGTCCATCATGAATTCCGCTGGAGCCATCAACAGGTACCAGCTGGGTAAACCCCATCAATGGCCTTACACTGATCAGGTGTCAGCAAAATTAAAATATGCTTCTAAATCTCCTCTGGGCCTTTAAGGACTCTCTGTTACTTGGATTTTTAACCCCTTCTTCCTGCTGGTATTCAGGCTGAGGTGGTTGATTCCTTGGGTCTGCCAGGCAGTGGTGGAGGCAGTGCCAGCTGCAAGGAGCTAATTCTGCAAACTTCTGTGTCAATACAAAATAACTGGAGGCAACTTAAAAGTACAGGCTAGCGAAAAGAGCACTGACAGGTTTAGGTGCCAAAAACCAGCCCTGGGTGTGCCCAAGCCAGTTACAGTAAGAGAAGCTGTGTTCAGGAAGGAGAGCTAACTGTTTGTGTGCCAAAACCCACATGGCAGGAGGGAGAGGAGGAATGTCTAGGGAGAAGGCTACAGGGACAGACCCATCCCCAAAAAAACGTAATTATTTTGATGGATTACATAAGATATGGTCTAACAGTTTTTGCTGCTCAGCAAGAGATGAATAGACAAATAAAGAGAGCAGTGTAGGATCTGTAAACAGCCTCACCCCTCTCCAGACCCTCGGGGCTACAGAACAAATGGACAAATCTCATTGCCAGGTAGCTCCATTAGGAATTTGCAAAGTTTGGAAAAGCTGAAAGCCTGTGTTTACAAGGTGTTGTTTCCTTTCCAAATAAAGCATGAATCAGCTCTCATTTTAAAGCAGTTTTGGCCCTTGTGATTGCAAAAAAAATATTCCCTGGGTCCTTTGTGGTAGTAGGCAGTTGAGCTGTATGTACAGTAGTCATAAAGGTAGGTCAAGGAAGTTGAAACCCCGGAGACTTTTCAAGGTTTAATATTCTTAATCGACTTTTAGGCGGATTCAGGGCTCCATCAAGGATGAAAAGAAGAAGAAATTCGTGACTGGTGAATGGTTTTCAGAAGTGAAGGCGAAACGATTTCAAGAAGACTTAGAGGGGTCAGATCTGCTTCGGGCATCAATTAGAAAGAAGAAGGGCAAACTGGAAAGTAAGTATGTTAGTGTGCACCTTAACAAAACAAACTGATGGACTGAAGAATAGTTGTCAGATATGTAGGCCTCCCTATGCAGGGAGCCGTTGTATGTTGCAATGAGAGGATTCTCGGCTGAGCTTTCAATACCAAAAGAAAGCCAACTGATTATCCAAATAAAAGTCCAAGGAAAAAATAACAATGCAGTAGAGGTAAATCTTGTATACTAGCATCATGCAGTAGGTACCTTCTCCCCAGCTCAGTTTCTTTCTTCCAAAATGTCTGTTTATAAGGGGGTGCTGGAATCATTTCTTGCTGAAGCTGCCTGAGATCCTAGGGAAAAAAAAAAAAGAGATGATTTGAGACCATTTCTGGCATCAAACTGACACATTTGGGTCAAAGACCCCTAATTCCTAGACTGCTCTGATAAAAGCAAGACAGCTGTCTGTGCTCACCACCTCGCTTTGAGGGCAGGACCCAGGACATCGGGGTCAGTCACATCTCTACAAAGGCACCATGGTGCCTCTCTTGGGCAGGAATTTTCCCTCTCCAAGAAGGGAACATTGGTACAATGGTGAATGCCTGGCTTTTCTATAAGGAAAAAACTCATAGGCACAAAACACAACAAATCAGTTTTGGTGGCTCAGTGTTGTGAAAAGAAGAAAAAAGCCCTGTGTGAAATGAGCAGAACTGTGCTTTGAGTCCAAATGTAGCCAACCTGGAGCAGGTGCTTTGTGCAAAACATAACTGGGGATGATTCTCATCATGAACATGAAGGCAGATCAGCTGACTTGCAGCAGGACTTTGGGACTGTATCCTTATCTCACACAACCTCCAGATTGCCCCTTTGTCAGGGTGGGTAATCACAGATACTGAGACATGCCTGGGAAGTTACTGACTGCTGCTGCTGTGGGGAAGCGAGGCTTTGATAGACAGCTCTAAGCAGTCTGCCATGGTCCTTAATGTTGTAACTGACCTCTGCTCCATTGAGGTAAAGTCAGGGTTATCTTCCATCTGTTCAAAGCTCAAATGTCATCTCCATCCTGCTCACTCCAGCCCAGTTCCCTGGGTCCAGCTACATTTCCTGCTGTGGGGCTGCAGCAATAAAGATTGCTCCTTCATTTGCTCAGCTTCCTTGGCCAGTATCTCTCTGTAACACTAGTTTCCTCCCCTCTCTAAAGCCCCAATTTAGTTGACCCCTCTTAACTCCACATTACTCAAAGCTAAATACTTGCTAGGGTCTTGAACACCTAAGAAGTGTTTTCTTCTTTTTTTGTTTATTTCTGACAGCTCACATGACTGAGGATAGATTCAGTGGAGTCTTAGATACAGAACCACCACATTGTATTTCACACAAAGTTGCTTTTATCCTTATATTATTATTTTAGGAATTTATTTTATTAATAAATTTGCTATTTCATCATCCTTCCGGAATGTGAAAACATGTAAGCCTTTTCCAGCTTGACAGAGTAGACTGGCCATTTCTGCAGTGGTTGCTCTGCCTTTTGAGGATGTGCTTTTATGCCTGCACTCTCTTTGCATGAAGAGACAGATTTATATTTGCATGAAGAGATGGCAGCCTCTTTGCCACTGAAAGGACATCAAGTCAGGTTAATGGCCTTGCCTCTGCAACCCAGCTAATGAAGTCAGCGACGAAGTAGATTCAATTTTGTGCCGTGCCAGTAGCATCAGCTTGCTTTGCGTGCAGCCCATTTCAGTGGAATAAAATTTGAAGTACTTTTGGTTTTAGATTTAACTTCTACTAATGTTTACATGAGATTCAGCCTCAGGTTATCCTTTAAAATAATCTCCTTAGTAATATTGCATTAATATACAAATTATGTCTTTGCTTATATACTTTGGAAACTTGGCTGTTTTAAAAAGAATGAAGCAAATGTTACTAAATTGCTATAGCAACTTAGCCCTCTTTTTTCCTTTTCATCTTTTTCTCTTTTTTTTTATTTCCCTTTGTTTATTTTCAGCCTTATTTTGTTAAATCACGGACATAGCGTGATTTCTTTTTTTTCGTCCTCTTAGTGTTGCTGTTTTTCTTCTGGAACAATTAGGTTCATCAGCGTCCTGTCAAGCTTTCAAGGTGACAAAGCGGTGCACAGTCATCTAACATGAGGTGCACGTTCATGCCTATTTTCAAGAGTGCTAGGAAGTGTGTGAATCACCTAAAGTATTACACCAGCTGTGGCTATGCACACACATGCACATGCATATATATGTGTGTGTATTTATATATATGCATATATACAAGTTAATCTGGTTAAACCACTACTAATTTCCAGAGGAATTTGCCTCTTATTCTGTCTCATCCTAAAGCTAGCAAAGGCATTTTACTTATCTTGGTGGGTGACATAGTACTAATAAGCCATTTGTTTGTGATTAAGTCCGACGTAGCTACGTTAGTGCTGAAGCAGTTTGGATGGGGGTGATTCGAAGGAGAGGAGCTGAGCACCTCTTGGTGCCTCTTGCTCAGTCGTGAAGTGGAAGCTCTGAGGGGGAACTGTCAGGAGAAAACAAATGCCGTGCGATGCCTGTAGATGCAAGAGAAGAGAGGAGTGTGCTCTTTAGTGGTCAAGCTCTTTTTAACCCTGACGGGCAGAGCGAAAACATGGGAGCCCCCTTTGGTGGTTCTGATTTCAGACCAGTTGCCTGCTGGCATCTTGCACCTCAGGCTTGGGGCAGGCGTGGAGGACGTAGCTGGCTGTACCGAGGAACGCCCTGCAGCGCGATTCCCAGGCCTGCGCCTGGCGGGTCCTGCCCACACGTCCCATCAGCTGCGACACGGCTTGTCTGTCCCCAAACAATGTCCCCTTGTGCTCTCTGCACAGCAGCGTTCGTACGGACAAAGTACAGCCCCAAAATGTGCTGTGTAAAAAATGGTAGGCAGCTCTGAGCAAGGCCAACCGTGCGCCTCCTTCTTCTACTGCCGGCCAGGCAAGGCCGCGGGGCCGTGCGTGAGAGAGACCCTTGGGGCGTTTCTCTAACCCGATGTGCAGAGAGGCCCCGGGCAGGATGGGGTGGCTCTCGATGGTGCAGCCTGCCTCTAGCATCAATCTGCTCTTGGGTTTGGTGCAGTTTGCTGAACAGATAACAAGGCTATATTGCTTATTGTTGTATATTGTTTTAAGCCTCCGATTCCATTGTATAATGAAATCTAGGCTAAAAAGATTTGGCAGATTTTGTAACAGGTAAATTTACTCTTTAAAATAGACATAACTACATGTGAACAAATATGTGCTAACCTTGTGTGTTTTGTTGACCAGACTGAGCTAAATTTTTCATCACTGTTTGAGGGTTTAATCCTTCTGTTTTTTACAGTAGCAAGAAAGTGTGTTTGCCAGGTAAATGTCTAATGCAACTTTTTACCCAGGCAGGTTGTTCTAAAAGTTGCCATCTTCTATTGTTTTTTCTTTAGTATCTGAGAGTGCTCAGAAGATGTAGCTGAGCCCCGTGCCAGGAAAAATAGCAGGGATCTCCTCATTAACTGTATTAGCCTCCTCCTTTGTTTGCCAAGATCGGATGACTTTGAGTCAAAACAGGAAATAGCTGAATTTAAATCCTGGAACGGATTAACTTTATTGACAGCCACAGCAGTGTCCTGCTAAGGTTTCTTAGGATGACAGCTCCTGTCATCAGTCTGGCATGAACCAGCTCTGCTCGGACTCGTAGGTCCATGGGACCTGGAGGAATTTTTCCTCACGGGAATTGCAGGGGACACTGCCCCGGTTCTGCCCATCTGCAGGGCCAAAGGCAGACTCCCATCAGCAGCCCCGCGTTAGTTCCCCAGGGCTTGTGATGGTGGGAATCATTTGAGGAGTCCTCACTTTCACCAAGTAAGACATTGTGGCTATTGCAAGCTCACTTATGTGTCATTTCTTGGTTGTGCCTGCTGTGTAACAGATGAGCCTAACGAGTGTATCCGGAGCAGTCTGGATGGCAGAGCAGCCGCGAGTCCTCCCGTCCCGGAGCGTGCTGCCGGCGCAGGAGAGGAGAGGTAACCCTGGCCCCGTGCTGTCCCGGCTGCTCTGTTGGGCCCTGGCTGCTCTTCTCGCTTCTAAGGAAAACTGACTGTGACCCTGGTCTTTTAAATGAGTTTCCAAGACCATATTAGTAAAATGTGATATAAGATATTTTTTAAATCCTTTTTCCAGGAATTGTCAGAATCTCCCTGAATAACTAAGTGGTAATGTGCTTATCCCAGAAAGATTTTTCCTGCATGATTTGATAAGGGATTAGTAAAATGGAAGCTGTCGCTAATGTCAGGATATTCTAGGTAGCTTTTCAAAGTAATTATGATTTTTATTTGTTTAATTTTTGCCATGGGGCAATGCTAACAAAATGAACTGCTTTAGGAAACTGGTCATTTCCTGCCAGCACTGACCACTGTGTCCAGCATTCAGCACTCTGCTTGAAGGCTTGCTAGGATTTCAAGTTATGCTGACTATGCAGAAACACCCAGTAAAAGCACCTCAGCGAGCAGATCAGTAATCTCACTCAAATTTACAGGCTGTGGAGAAGCCATTAAAATATACACATTTACATTTACTGTGGCTTCCATCTCATTTGCATTTTTTTGTCAGCAAAATGAGATTTGTTCCTCGCAGGCAACAATTGCCCCAAGTAACTGTTAAATGGGGGCCTTCACAGTGCTTCCAGACCTCATGCAGCTGAGGAGAGGGGCTTCTTTAACAGATATGCAGCCTCAGCTTGCCCAGGATGCTCCCGCTTTCCCAGTACAGCAGTTTTCCTTTCATTTCAGTTTTGTTTATACTCTGAAAAGCTTACTTTATTTTCCTCAGTCAAGCTTAAACACGAAGCGTTCCTATGTCAAATCCCACCAGTCACATGACTGCTTTTATCCCTCTGGAGAGCAGCCACCACTGGACTCTTCCCAAGAAGATAGAACTAGCCAGATAAACTACTTGTGGTATTTGTTTCTTCTATTTGTATACCAAGTAGTTTGCAATCAACCTGTATTCCAAGCATGATCATCTATACGCCATGCTGTGGTTTTGGGCTAACTGTTGTCATTGTAATTACTCCTGCTGTTTATAAATTCTGAGTCAATGTGGCTGAGCCTTCGGCCTGCACGGGGAAGGGTAGAGCCACCAACATGATCCTTCTCGGGCCAGAGTCTGCAAGGTGGCGTCTCCCTTCTGTATAACTTTGGGCCCTTTTAGCACTGCCACATCCCATGTTTTCCTGGCAATTTTCGCACAAAAAGGGAAAGTCTGAATAAACCCAAAAGTTTGCACTGTTATTTTCATTGAGCAACTTCTTTATTGACTGCAGTGGGAGACTGGTCCTTAGTCTAAGTTCAGAACATTTAATGTGTTCTCAGGTCATTCCAAAGATATGAAAAAAATAAATGAAGGCACCGCTCTGGCCAGCCAGAGTATGTGGGCTTGGTCAGTAGGTGGAAGTGGCAGCGTAACTGAGCAGGGCGGACCCCTCATTGAAGACTGCCAGATCACCTGGGCAAAGGATGCCCTCAGAGCGTGTCCTACACCAGTCTCTTTGCTGAAGTGTTTCTTGTCTTCCACAGATCCAATGGGGTCACATTTGATACTGCAGAGGAGCCTAAAATTTTGCCAAAAGCAAAGCCAAGACGTCCTGTCCTGCTGTATGCCTCACAGAAGGTAGTATAGCTGTGGCCTCTGCATTTTGTTTTGTTAATCCTTGGAACTTCACGCAATCTGGGTCTGTTGGCAGGGGCTTCAGAGACTGTGTGCCTTGGTGTCTGTGCTCAAATAAGATATATTTTTCCCATCTTGCCAGTTTATACACACTGATAGGATTTATTTTCCATTCAGAGATCCAGTATAGTTGATGTCTCTTCCTCAGAGAGTGACACTGGAGCAAATCTATTTGTGGCTGCAACAGACAGCTTGCCTTTGTCTCGGAAAGGTAAGGTTCAGTGAGCCATATGAGTTTTTATTATTCAGCATCAGACACCAAGAGACAAGATGCTTTTTTGTGTGTACAGTGAAGAACGAACATTTCTTCCCTTCCCAATAAGAAGGAGTTGGGTTTGGTTGGGTTTTTTTCCAAATGAAAAGGGGCTTGGAGGGAAAATACTGGTAGCTTCTGGAAACTGTTTCCCTTTGAGAAGCTGTAGCATAAACCTCCTGGAAAAAAAAAATTACTATGTGATGCTATGCGATAGGTTGTGAACATCTGTTGTTGCTGTAGGTCATGGAGTATCCCCATTGCCTGCCAATCTTTCAGAGGATGCTGTGCCTCAGCCTGGCAGTTCATCTGGAGGAGATGCAGTTAATGGAGCCACTGGCACCACAGCAGTGGCAAAAACTTCGCCTGAAGAAATGTATGGTCCCAGCAAGATACCAGTTAAGAAGAAACCAAGCAGAACTTTCCCCAGATCAGAACAGTTCGTGAATCATGTGGGCCCAGCTGAGGGCAGCCCCACCAAGAAGGAGCTGCTGGTAAGCCCCAAACCACTCAGTGCAGAGGGAGAAAACAGCCGGACTGTGAAGCAGGGCACGAACTACACAATCTCTTCCATGAGTAATAGAGAGGAGGATATTGGCTTAGATCGTGAACACTTCAAGAACTTGAAGAACTTTTGGGAGAAGGCAGCAGACTCCATGGCAGGGGGAAATGTTTCTGAGGACTCGGTGGAGGCAAGCAGCAGGCAGGTCAGGCTGAGTCGCTCGCTCTCTGTCCAGTCCAGCCAAAGCCAGGACAGTGAAGAAAAATCTGTCATCTCTACCAGAACAAGAACTCCTTATAAAAGGACAATAACTTTGTCTTCTAGTGAGGAAGAACCAAGCTGCACAGCCCCTGCACGAAAGGGCTCCATTTCCTTTGGTCCTAAATCCACGTATGCCAAGAGCAAAGGCACACTGGTTGCAAGAAATAACTCGCTGAATGAAAGCAGTGGGAAGCTGCCTGTGCCAGAAGAAGAGAAGGCAGCACAGCGCTGCTCAAAGAAATCCAGACTGCCTGTGCGGGTGCCTTCCATCAAAATAGAGTCGCCTACCAAAGAAGCGCCTGGCAGCACGTTTGAGCCGGAGACGCCCACGGATGAGTTTATCGTGGCAGAAGAGCACAAGCATCAAGTGGATTCACTGGTGAGCAGGGTGCAGATACTGATTGAGCCCACGCTTGCAGATGACGAGAAAGATGATCAAAAGGAGCGAAGGTCTGATTCGGGCACTCAAAACAACATGGAAATAAATGGAGAGATACCTGAGGAAAAAATGTGCGAGTCTCCAGACAATCCAACAGCCAGTGAACCAGCTGGAAAAAGAGAAGTCGTGCAGGGAATGGACTCAACTGTTTACTCAGGTACCAATGGCTATAACTATACTCTGTGAAATCCCAATGAACGTCTTCCCTAAGTCTGTTTTCCTCCCTCTCCCTTTTGCATTTTGCACATTTTCTCCATTTCTATGTTTTTTTGAGCAAAGTTAGCATGTATGGAATTCGTTTAGCAAACAGCTCTGAAAATAAAGCCTTCTGCTTAGCTCAGTGCAAGCGTTGACGAGCGTAGTGCTATCCAGTTCCCTTGCCTTCCTCCCTCTTTCATGGTGGCTCCTCTGCACCCTTGCCTGGCAGCTCCTCAGCTCAGGACAGCTCTCTCTTTCCTTAGCCTTATTTGCAGCAGCTCATTTGAACTCATATTATTTCGCTAACTGGGAAGTCTGTATTTTCTTCAAATATAGGGCTAGAGGGATTCTTTGTGGTAGTAAAAAATAAGTTATTTGCATGGCTTATTGACACAAATAACAGAAATAGAATGTTTTTAAACAAATATGTTGGCCGTTAAGCTACTTTGATACCCTGCATGCTTATTCTAAAATCATCAGTGTTTGATTGAAAACCTGGGCCTGTGGGTGCTCCACAAGTAAATTTGGCCCAAAATGGACTGAACAAACCATCCGATCTTTCTGAGCTCTGACACCATGTTCCCAGCCCTGATGGGATCAATAGTATCAGGACTTTATTAGCCTCTTTTTTTGGTTTTGACAAATTCTTGTGGTGATTGTTAATATGAAAAAAAGTCATTAACTGTGGTTTGTTTTAAACGTGGCCCCTGTTCGCCCAGTCCTGTTCGCTACCAAGCAACTACCTGGGGGAAGAGCTCCATACCTCCAGTTTCAAAATTTCCTGTCCTCCAAGAACAGGGTATGGTGCGTTTGAGAGGATTTTCGATAGGCTCATCTGTTTTTTGTTTTTAATAGCGCATTTCCTGGCTTATTTGCTGCTCCCCATAACATCTTCATGAAAGTCCTGAGTTGCACTCTAGACAACACAAGTATTTCCTTTATAAACTAGATCATTGTTATATTTTTCCAGTTTCTTGCATTATTTTTGCATTCATTTCAGGATGATATTAGCAGGTGGCTGTGTTGCATTGGAAAATGCAAGTGCTGGTCTGTTTGGGGGGCTGGGTTAATCTACTGTTTGCATTTTCCATCATAGAGTGAAGAGCTTTTTATGAGGAGAGACATGACGAGATTTGAAAGCAGCCCTGTGTAATGTAACTGTGATGTGTTGGAAGCAGAGCAAGCAAGCCAGCACACACAGACACACACACACACAGAGACACTCGCACACACTTGTTGATGCACTGCCTGTTTGTGCTTATTTACCATGTTGATTTGGATTTTCCGGTATTGCAGAGAAAGATGGAGATCGTTCTCCCGCTGCTCAGGCATTGGCCCGAGCAAACAACATTAATCTCGCAAAGAGCATGGTGAACATCTACACAACCACAGAGAGTGAGTAACATCTTTCTTTCTGCTTTTTGGTTTGCATTCCCTGGAGGTAATATATTATGTCTGAGTTCTGCATCCCAGATGCTTCTGTGCTTGTACCAGGCAAGGAAAGTGACATATTGTTTCATCATCAAATTAGAGAGCTTATAGTGCCTGAGATTAAATTCAGAGCCAGGAAATTGCAGCTAGATAGATGGTATGTATGTTACACAGTGTGTGCAGGAACAAGCAGGAGGGCTTCAAAAACTTGGCAAAAAGCTTGTCCCTGTCTCTTCTCTTCCCTGCTGGTGTGCTGGGACCAAGCTGTATGGCAGCCTGCTCAGCAAGTCCATCAGGCGTGCCAGAACCCAAGAGAGGTTAAACAGAAGGCAAACCAAAAAGTAGCAGCAAATCTCAAGAAACTGGTGGCCAGGAAACCTGTCTACACCACCGAGCAGCCCAAGGAAGCAGCAGTAAGGGAGAGGGCCTGGAAAAGGCAGCAGAAGTTCAGTGCCTCCATCTCCCCACAGACAATCAGGATTTTATGCTCTCTTTATTAAGGCTTATTTAGAATGCCAAACTTCACCCTGGAAAACTCACCTCTACTGCATTGTGCTTACTGGTTTACAGTTTAACATATAATCTGCAGAGAGGGCAAATTTAATATTTTGCTGAGGTTTAGAAATAAAAATACTGAATAGACATCTTTGCTATCAAAGGAGCTTTGGGCATCCCTGAGTATTGAATGCTCCGTCAGCATGGCTAATGTTAAGCAGGTGTATATATGTAAATGGGTATTTATCTAAATACATCATCTAAAAACAAAACAGTTATTTTGGAATGAGGTTTGTCATGAAGAAGGTAGAGATGGAAAAAATAGGTTTTAGTTAGCCATTTAAGCAGTCCAGTAGCCTTCTTTCTAATCCGACACATTCCTGAATCTTTCACACTTTTTTTCTCTTAGACAGTCTCTTGCCCAGTTCTTTGTCTGCCTAGCAAAATACTTGGGATGTGTATGCAATGCTGGAATTGTAGGTATAAGTATTTCATAGCTCTTTTGTGTGGGTAATATTGTATAGAAGAAGTGATGAAATGAAAATGTCAGCATGTTTTGTTTCTTTGACAGGGAGAGAGCTCTGTATGTTTTCATTCTAAATTAAATCTACACAGATAAAAGACTTCAAACAAATTCCATCTCTAAGCTAATAGGCATATTAAATTAGCCACTAGAGGGAGAGTATACATTCCCACACAGTGAATGGAAACAATTTGAAAGTAGCTTTAACATTTTAGCTAGCAGTTCTTGTCTTGGGGAGGGTTGAGCTTCAGAGGCCAAAAATAGAGATGGGGCAAATATATGGTACTCTGGTGCCTTCAACAAGCTGTTTTTCCTTCTTTGTGCTCTTAAACAAGAAGGAGACTTTCTTATATTTTAATTCTTCTGACAAAATATCTTGTTGCCTTTTTTGTTTGTTTGTGCCTGCAGCATACAATAAACCTCATTTGATACCCCATCAGTTTCTTGAACCTGAAAGAGTGAAAGAGCTGAGCAGATCCTCTCCTCTCCTGCTCTCTGAGGTAGTATTGAAATCATAATTTGCTAAAATAATAATCACAGCATCCCCTGACTGCCCGTCAGCTGCAAGAAAATGCTTCCCTTAGACACCAGCAGTGCTCGCTCCAGAGCATGCCTCATTTATGTCATAAATAACTGAGGGAAAAAAAAAGAAAAAACAACTCAATAATCCAGGCCAACACTTCTATCCTGTAGCAGTTTTAGTGTTTCCCTCTGCCTCAAGCCACACCATTACATGCTCTTCCCAAGAGCCTGGGCGACTGCATTCAGGTCTGCTTGGAGTCAGTAAATGACGATGTTCGCTCTGCTGGTCAGAGGGAGAGTCTTGAGGGAGGCTCCCTGCACTCCCCTCCGCTCTCCTAACCCGCCTTGTGTTTAATGGGGCTCTGCTGAGCTGTCGTTTTCCCTCTGTTAGTGTTTCAAAGTGCTCATACTGCAGAGCTTTAAGGTGCCTGTTGTTTTCTGAGCAGACTGAATCAGACACGGCTTCAGAAATCAGCTTCCAGTTTAACAAGCACAAAAAGACGCCTAGCATTGGCAGCCACTCCTCCGACATGGCATCTGTCTCCTCGGTAGGTACCTAATGAGTGCACCTCGCTGGAAAGGGTTTCTTTTGCTGTTGGATGTGGTGATGCTGCATTGAAGCTGATACCAATGTAGCCTCCAAAGTATTCTGTTGATTTCTGCATGGTACATTATTAAAAGAATGATGGTGATTAATTACTACTTTGTGTTGGCAACTTCGGGGGCATATGATTCCTTCTGGATGTCTGGAGAGTCTGGGAGCATTAAATGAGCCTTTTGTGTCCGTAGTCACATGTTCCTGATTACCTCATGCTAGATTCTCTGTTGGGGTGAATATCTTAATGGGATGGTAAATGTAACTCCAAGGACCGAGAGGAGATATTTAGTAGGTTCTTGTAGCTTAAAATAGAACAAAATTAAGAACTAAAGGAAGTAGGGAAGACAGAGAAGAATTAGGTTAATTACCAGAGAAGTTTTCTGATAGAATGACCCTAACTGTATCATAGAAACATGCCAAGAAGGTTAATTATTTGCTCTGCAAAAGGTAGACCTTTTATGTTTGCCCATCAGGAATGATGAGTGATTGCTGCAATGGAAAGTTTTCTCGTCGTTCTGAACCAGTATATTCTTTCTGCTTCATCACTTTCTACCAGTGAAGGATTTAATACTTGAAAAAAGGAGCCCAGGGCCTATGGGCAAATTTTGTTCAGGGAAAGCAGTGACTCTTGGGTGCTTAATTTCTATTTACTACCTGCAGAAACCTCATTTTTATCTACATCTGTGGTTAGCAGGCACACAGAGGCAATTGTATCTGGTGGGAGACTGGCTGTTCAGAACAGGGACATTATTTAATTCTGTTTTGTACAGCTTTGTGCACATTATGAGCAAACAACAGGATAGTAAGAGTCAGCTTTTCAAGTATTTCTAATGTTTTTATTAGCCTAATTTAAAAACTTTGAATTAGGAAACTGTATCTACCAGAATTAAGCAGTTTATGTAAAGATACTTCAAGTTTACTCTTTTAAAAGTTACTCTTTTAATGATAGGGCTGGGTCAGAATATCAGCCATTTGTACTGTAAGGGTGCCAAAGGGAAATGACTTGTGTGGTCTCCTCTCCCGCCCCCCCATTATATTTGACTCGGTTGCCTAATGCTTTGGGATTAGGGGTGAAAATCTTATGTGTTGGTCAAGCATTCAGGAGAAGAGACACTGACTGCTTCTTAAACCTGGTCTAGGATAGCACATCCCAATGCAATCCCTCATATCCTGTTCTCATTCTCATAAATCCTGGTCTCCCAACCCTTGCTCACACGAGTGCAGCTGCAGATCCAGACCGTTACTATGCCAAGAGCACGGTCCTGCTAAGGAACAGAGTTTGCAGGCTGGTTTTCTGGGAATGCACTTTTCAGACCAACATCTTGGTCCAGAAACAAAGTCAGGAGGCTGTCTGTTTCAGCAGCTCTAACCTTGCTTTTCCCGCGCAGGTGAGCGGCAGCGTGCTCAGCGTGTACAGCGGCGATTTTGGGAGTGTGGATGCCCAAGGTACCGTTGAGTTTGCTCTAGACTACGATGAGAAGAACCGGGAGTTCCAGATTCATGTATCCCAGTGCAAGGACCTAGCTGTTGTGGATGAGAAGAAAGGCAGATCTGATCCGTGAGTGACACTTTCCTTGGATGCCTTGTGACTTTTAAACTGCAGAATTTTATGTTCTGGAATATTCTTTTTTTCTTGTGTTTTGGCATTCATGATTTCCAGCCTGCCTTAGATTTCTGCTGTCTCCCCCAGCTTGCTGCTGGGACTTTTCTAGCTGATGCCATTGGCATCAGTAAAAATGTTGCTGCAAATTAAAATCTGAATATGACTGAGAAAGCTTTGATCGCTACAATGGCTTCGGTTATCACAATAACATGTGTTTTCTTCATCCATGTGAACCTTGGTCTCCCTGTGGCAAATGCATTTCAGTAACACCTCTGGAGATGCAGACACATGTCAATGCAGAAAGAAAGCCCTGGAAATGCCATTAGGTGACACAGTGGCAGTTAAACAGAGGTTAGCAATCTCTAGTTTGGTGAGGAAGAGAAGCTCAAATTTGAATCTTGAAGAAAGGAGACTTATTATCAGATTCCTTGAGATGTTCCTCTGCTTCCCTTCCCTCTTACTTCACCCTGATTTTGAAGGCAGAGAGATGCTGTGTTATGAACATTTATGAAAACAGATAAATGGCCATACTTAAATCTTTGCATACTTAAAGTCTAGCTGCTTTGCAGATTGGCTGGAGAGCTGCCTATTCTGAATGTTGGTAGAATCCATGCATCTCCAGTGAGATTTACATATTCACATGCACACCAAGTTAACACCCTTAATTAGTTTTGGCTCCAGAGAGTCAACTCTGGGTCTTTTGTTCTCATAAATTCCGTGTCACCATTCTGAAATCTCCCTTGCTTATTAGAGCGTGGTGATACTGAAGAGTATGCAGCTGGAGCTTGTTTTCTTTTACAGGTATGTCAAAACTTATCTGCTTCCAGACAAAGCTAGAATGGGTAAGAGGAAAACCTCTGTGAAGAAGAGAACAGTGAATCCCATTTACAATGAGGTGTTGAGGGTAAGCACAAATACATGCTGGAAAAAAATAGTGTGGCAGTAGACATCTGTACCAGACCAGTTTGGGCAAGTGTCTATCTTTTTGGCAGGGTTCCTTCACTTGCCTCCTGCTAACGCTGCAGTACAGCTTTGGGGTTGTGATGCTGGGGGTGAGGTAAAGAGTGAACTTTTTCTAGACAGTGAGGAAGAGCTGGGCCTGCGCAGCTCCCCAGTGCCACCTGCTTGGTGTGCGTCTGGTCAGTGGCCACAACTAAATCCCACTGTCTATCTGAGGAAGATAGGCCTACTGCTTACTGTTGAACACATTCATCAGGGTGGGGGGAACTGGAACTAATTTAAGGGAGTGTAGGGATGGTGTGTTTGGCTGTGTGGAAGGTGGATGTGAGTTTTTGTGCTGTTGTACTAACTTGTCCACTAAACACTGTGGTCAGGCAGTGAGCGGCCAGGGACTCCTCTCTGGGAAGAAGCTTGAAACACCATCTCTGAGGTCTGGGGAGGAGAAGCTGGAATGGAGGGGAATAGCCAAAAAGTGGATATGGGCTGTTTCTGGAAATTAGGAATCAGAGATTGTGACAGACTGCAGAATCCTAGGAAGAAAAGAACCAGAGAGAAATATGACTTCTTAATAGCTTCTGAACTACTGGAAAATCAGTATTTTATACTTGCTAACTTGACTGATGTTTTCAGTTCTTTTCTAAGAATTGGAGTGTGAAAACAAGCAAACCAAATCAGGCAGGAGTTACCTTGCTGTGTGTTAAAAGCAGGAGATGATTGTTGCCAGTGCTTCTAATAACTAGACTTTCCATAAACTCCTGTGATAGCAGAAGCTTCAGACAGTGATGTTTCAGGTTTCAATAAAGGGGAAAAAACATCCCCGAACTCACTGCCTTCAGAACAGTGTCAGAAAGTCCTCTGAACTCACAGCTCTAAGTGTGAGTATATGGGTGCTAAAGGCTCAGAAGCAGAGGGCAAATAAAAGAAAATCCCTAAATATATTACTTGAAGTCCTACGTTATGAGTCAGGCTCAGAACTTTTGATACCTGGCCTTCAGGGTTTGTTTGGTTTTGAATTCTGGAATACAGTACCAGAATTGCATGGGATTGAAGGAACTTCTTAATGATCATGTGATAGTCTCTGCCATTTACTTCTACCTTCCCTGGCTTGCAGTTGTAAGGGAGGAGACTGTTAAGACAGATCTTTTATTCTGTGATCCTATTCATCAAAGCATAGAGAATTATTTAACGATGTCAAGACCAGTGTTAATAAGTCTTAAAAGAGTAATTGCTTTCATCTTAAGAAGAAAAGAGCACTAGGTTCCCCTGTGCTTGGCAGAAGAGCTTTATTAGGTGGGGGGTGGTATCGCTGCAGCCCTTAAAAGAGATGTTCAGAGTAGGGCCAATCCCTAAGAGCATTGGAAAGAGTTTGTACCTCTCCATCAGTCACAGATAATTCAAGCTTTTGAATAGTTTATTTCCAATTCTGAAGACAATTAGTGAAAATTTTAATTTTGAAGCAAGAAGATATGTGTTTGAACAACCTGGCTTCTCTTTCTTGCTCTAGTATAAAATAGAGAAAATGGTATTGCTGATCCAAAAGCTAAATCTCTCTGTTTGGCACAACGACCCTCTGGGACGTAATAGTTTCTTGGGAGAGATCGAAGTAGACTTGGCCAGCTGGGACTGGAGCAACAGGAAACTCAACTGGTACATGCTGAAGCCTCGGGTGAGTGCAGCCCTGCTGCAGTCCTGCTTCCTAGCCCAACCACAAAGCCCTGGCTACTTGGACAGTGCTGTGTTAGCTCAGGGCTTGTCCTGCTGAGCCCAAACTGCCCCTAGGAGAAAGCCCTGTGGATGGCTGCTTTGCAGTGCACCGTGGCAGTGAATTCCCTGCATGAAGGGAAGACTCTGCTGAGGTCTTTGAGGTGGACCCAAACAGTCTGAATTACACCCAGGGGAGTAAAACACCCCCCCAAGACCTTGCCATGCTAGTCCAATATTTGCAGTGCTCTGAATATAGACCTTGGGTCTCATTTTGTGACTGCTCTCTGGGGATAATCAGATTCATTAATGTGATCTGACACTAATCAACAGGAACACTGACATGACTCTGCCTCTCTGTCTAGTCACTCAAAGATTATTCCTTAAAAAACAGACAGCAGAGTACTAGGTGATGCAATTGGACGTGACTTGAGAGGTAAATATTCAGGTGCCAGGTTTCATAAAGCCTTTACAGCACCTTGCATGCTTCTGGGTTCTGAGGTCTGATCTGAGATCCCTTTTCAGAAAATGAAGGACGTCTGGCTTTTGGGACTAAGATGCTTAGTTTTCTGGACACAAGCTGGACACATCTGGAAGGGCAATCTTGTTCTGAATCCTCAGGCTTTTGATTTCGAGGGACAGGTTGAAAACAAAACCACAAAGTAAGGTGCCTTGAGAATGGGCTGTCTCAGCCATGCAAGATCGGAGCTTATCTGTTTGTGCCCCTAAATTGAACTCAAAAACTACTTGCCCTGTGGTGTTAACACAAGCCCTTGTTTAGTTGGTCATAACTGTTTCTGTTTCAGAGTCTTTCTGCCATTAATGGTGTTGATCATCGAGGAGTGATGAATTTGTCTATTAAGTATGTCCCACCAGGAAGTCTAGGTAAAATATATTTCATAAATGAAGAATAAGTATTGCCTGTTTATAGGCATGCTGCTTGCAATGCCTTTTCTCTCTAAGGGCTTTCTAAAAACTAATCTCCTTAGAGCAACACCTTAGAGATCAGCAAAGTGGCACAACCACTGGTGCTCCGTAGCACCATCTGCAGACTGTATATGTTTTGCAAATCTGGATTTTTGGGGGAGACTGGGAGAAAAGAGGAAGGGTTCAACAACCTTAACCTCAGCAGCTGTTACGATCACCACAGGCAATGCTGTGATGTGAAAGCAGCAACATGCAGGCCCTGTTATCATGGGGCAGGCCTGAGCCTGAGTTTGCTTGGCAGTTCTTCTCCTTTGCTGCTTCACAGCAGCACTGGCCTCTACAGCTGCATGAGTGGAGGGCTGGCAGTAAGAATATGGGAGCCAGGCAGAGGAGTGCAGAGCTCCCAAAGAAGTGAGTGCACAGAGAGGTCATGTTTCTGCTCCCTCAGATCCCCGGTGAGGAAGCCTGTCTTCTTCCTAGTGACTGTAAGGACAGGCATGAGAGTTTGTCTCTTCTAAATGGCAGGTCCCAAGAATCCCCCCTCTGGTGAAGTTCACATTTGGATCAAAGATGTCAAGGACCTGCTGCAGTTGCGTCCTTCTGGAGTTGACTCCTTTGTGAAATGGTAAGTGCATGAGCATGGGCAGGTCTTCATGTTGGCTTTGCCTCTCTAGGGAGAGGTTGGATGTATGAAGCAGTGAGTTTTCTTCTCTTTTCTCAGGCTCACTTAGCAATGCTTCCATACTGTAAAGCCTACATGTTGCCTTGTGTTCTGTAGGGATGGAGAATTGCCCTAATTATTCACTTAGGCCCAAATTAGGAAAATACTTGCTGTGATAAAGCTCTTGGTCAACTGATGTCTGTGACTCACTAAGTGATTTTGCCTCAATATCTTACTGGAAGAAATATGGGGGTGCTGTGCCTCAGCCCAGTGTGCTCATGTGAAATTGTGCATGTTACTGTGGTACAGACTTGTGTGCAAAGTTTGGGAATGTGTTAGGGATTCACCGGGACGGACATATAGGCAGTCAGAGGCAGCCTTGGTCTTCTCCAGCATTCAGTGTGTGGATGTTATCTCTCAGGCTGCAGAGAAGTTCTGCCTATTTGAACGTGTTGCAAATATTCCAGAAAATTAAAAGCCTTGTACCTTTCTGAAAACACTTACTTAAAAACTGGATTACTTTTGCAAAAACTTATTTGGTCAAGGACTTTTGAACATTTCCCATTCAACCTACAGAGACTTAACTGTGTTTTGAGACCCACTTCCTTATTTTACAACTGAAACAGGTTTAGCTCCATGTTTAGAATTTTGTAGGAACAATTCAAACAGTGGTATTTTGTACTACATGCTCTATTATTTTCTCTTGTCAAAGCTATGTGCTTCCAGACACCAGTAAGAAGAGTTACCAGAAGACCCGAGTTATAAAAAGAGACACAAACCCAGTTTTCAATCACACTATTGTGTATGATGGATTTCACACAGAGGATCTAAAGGATGCTTGTGTTGAACTGACTGTGTGGGATCATGAAAAGCTAACCAACCATTTCCTTGGAGGAATCAGGCTGGGCCTTGGGACAGGTAAGCAATTTTCTTTATATTTTAAATGGGTGCTGTTACCATATTGATAAGCCACATGATATAGTGGTAAGTTGTAGATCATCTGCAGTGCATGGAAAGTCTCGATATTGATGTCGGTCTTGATGCTTTTACCATGGATGTTGATCTGGGATGAAGCAGACCCAGTACTGTCATGGTAACCCCCTGTTCTGGCAATTTCTGCCAATATCAACTCCCAGATCTGGCAAGAATTTAAGCCTTAGGTCCAGAAGATGATGGCCGAGAGCTTTATGGCTGTTATCCTTCCCAAAGAGGCTGTGTTACTCACTATTATATTACTGCTTCTCTGAGTGAAGAGTGTTCACAGAAGAAAATGAAGACATTTAATGCCATGTGGGACAGCACCACCTGGTGACTCTGTTCATGTCACTTCCTCCCTTGAAAGGCTTTAGTAGGAGGGCTAACTACTACTTGAAAAACGGGGCTAGATATTTGATCTGGTAGAGAGGCAACACTGAGACTGCAGAAAATGGAAGTAAAGTACAAATTGGAAAAGGGGATTTTATTTTTGGTGCTGAAAGACCTTGGCTGAGGTGCCCTTTGCTTCACTAGGAGACAGTCTCTGTCTCCTTATAGCATGGAGTTCCAGTTCAGAGGAGGACTTAGACCAGTGCTTAGCTTGAAGAGTTTAGTGAGATTACTCACTCCTGAAGATGGGAAAATATCCAGTATTTTTAAACCTCAGTTATAAAGATCAAGTGGGACCATCTCTCATTGTCCAGCTGGCAGTCGTGGAGGTTTGTCCTTGTCTAAATGTCCTATCGTCGCTTTCACTGTAGCCCATATCAAGGGTTTGACAGGTTGCATGTTCAACTTTGCATTTTTGTAAGTGGGTTATCTAAAGAACTCTTAAACTAGGTGTATTTATTATTAAGCAAAAGAGATGAAACATTCAGATTTCAGGGGGTTGTGATAAAGGATTACTGTCCCGTGAGGGTATGTGGGAAAGGCCTGTAGTAGCTGGAAGGTGTCACTTGCTGATGCACTGAAGTTTATTGGCTTTGCTTTTGTGTTTCCTGTTTTCAATCTCTAGCATGTCACCAGGAATGTTGTGAACTATCCAATGTGAAACGGCAACAGGAATAAGCTTATAAACCAGATATAAAAATACCAACCCCAAGATTAGCTATGAATCAAATTTAGACCTTTATCTAGTTGACAAGTAGTAGACTCATGGGAAAAAAATGGCTGAATAATCAAGTTGGAATTAAATGTGCACACTTTTACAATATCATATAAATAAATGAAATGTAGAACAAAATAATTTTGACAGAACCTCTCTGTCCGCAACAAAATCTCTTAAGGGGAAATCTCTTAAGGGCTTTTAGACCTTCTTTACCACTCTGAAAGAAGCAAGGAAGAGCTTCAGCCTCATATTACTTTTTCCTGGCAGACTACATTTAAAATTCTTGTGATTTGGGGCTTTTCCAGTAGACTTCATTCTGAACTCTCGTGTAAAATGGAGGTCCTTAGCAGCAGAACAAGAGGTGGTTAGGGTGCACCTTGCTGAGCACTACTTAGCACTTTTTAGGCTATGGCCCTACCTGCAGCAGTCATGTCCCTTTGAGTATTTTTGTATAAAAAGTAAAAACTCCATGTGCTGCTCCCAACATTACTGTCTCCTTATTCCCCCTAAGGTTTGAGCTATGGCATCTCCGTGGACTGGATGGACTCCACGCAAGAGGAGGTGGCCTTTTGGCAGGAGATGATGTCAGCTGCCAATGAATGGATCGATGGATTGCTGCCACTGCGCTCGCTGGCAGGGAGGAGAAAGCTGAAATAACCCCCATCTGTGCTCCGGAAAGGCTGAACATGTTGGTTAGAATTAACTTCTTGCACAGAGGTGATGGAGACCATCTGTGAGCCAGACAAGTGTCAGGTTAATTAAGAAACTGATGGACAGCACTTTGGTCATGTTAAGTGCTGATTTGCCAACGGAGAACCTGGAAGATGCTAGACTGACACTATGCTTGATTTTGATCAAGAAGGAACTTTTTGTTTGCCTTTTTATTTAATCGTTTATAATCAGTATCTTTGAATTCCATTAAGCTCTGGGAACACGGGCAGGGAAGAGCAGGTATAGATATTATTATTTTTTTACTGTTTCATGTGCCTTTTTTTTCTCCTGTGCAGAGATGTAGCTGTACTAAAGTTGCAGCATGGTATTATTCATACTCCCCTGTGAGTGGTACACTTTGTACTTGATGTAGGATTGCTCCAAGTCACCAGCCAGCACTGTCTGAGAATGGAAGCTTTCCATTTGTCACTGGTGATAATGCATCTGTAACGTGAGCAAAATTGAGATCCAAGGTGAATCTAAAGAAAGAACTATTTGAAACAGAAAATGAAGCAATCTGAGGAGGATAACAATGAGAAATTCAATGTATTAATTCCTTTCTGCTCTTCTATGAAAGAGAGAAGTTGTGGTCCTGTAGCTAGTGGGATTTTGCAGCTAAGGCCTGTTTTCCTAGCTTTCCCACAGGCTTCCTCAGTGACCTCAGGCAAGTTCCTCAATTAAAGGGCAGTTTCAGTGCAATATAAACTAACACACTTGCCCAAATGTAAAGTATGGTTACAATACTGATGTGCCAGACAGCACCTCTGAAATGCCTTGTGTGCAAAACATTTCACTATGAAAAGATGATGTAGGAAACAGTCTCATGTTAGCCTGGCACAGCGGATCAGGAAGGGAAGGTCTAAGTCATGCGGGAGCCCAGGAGATTGTGGCAGAGGTAGCAGAGAGTGAATCATGCAAAGTGGAGCTAACAGAGCTACAAGGACTGGGGTTTCTGCTGACCCTCACAGATCTCATTGCCCTTCTGGTCTTCCCTTCACTCGGTGCTGGTCAGTTGGAATTATCTTTTTTTTGGCAGTAGTTTGCAAAATTTTTGCATCTGACAAGTTAACAGTGACAGAGTTGCATTATGAAATGCACCTCTGTAATTTCTTCTTTAAATGTACATATTGTGATTAAATAGAATGTTTTTCCTTAGTCATCCGCCCATCTCCTTATACCTATCTTTAGCTTGGTCTGAGTAACAAAGAAGCAAGCAAGAGAGGTGTTAGATGTTGTCATGTCAAAATGAGCTTTTTTTTATCTCAAGGGTAAGTGATATATTGTGGAGCAACATTTTTTGTAGCTATCTGACCTTAGATTTTGGTTCTGTGAATATTTTGATATTCTTTAATGTATTGATTTTATTTTTTATCCAAAATGCATCAGAAATCTTCAGCTTAGCAAAGATGGTTGTAAAAAAAAAAATGAATGTGTGATAAACATAACAAGACTTTTTTTTTTTGTGTGTGAAATGAAGATGTTTGGAAGATAATCGGCAGCTCTTGGAGGGAGAAAAATAAAGAAGATATTTTTGTGATGGGGAAAAAAAATATTCTTTAGTATGTACCAATTCTAGTACTAAAAGCACTAAGAGAACTGTCTGTAGAACAACAGAGTTAAATAATGACTAACCTATTACACAACATGAAGTATATAGCTTATCAACCCAAAGACGCTTTGTATTGGCTCCAATCTGGCATGTTTTAGTCAACAAGGTTTGGTCATTTATTACCCCCATGGGATAATACTGCAAATTGGGATAAAAAGCAATATCGGGCCTCAGGTGAGAGTTTTTAATTAGCTTTACCCATTTAGGTGCTGAACATGTGGATACTTATACATATAGCTTGACTCCTATGAGGAGCGCTGCTCATCCGAGTGTGTGTTTGCTATAATGAAGCTGGCCCAGGGCTCTCCCCAGCCCGGGGACTTCAGCCACAGCCGTGACACGTGAGGGGTCTCTGCAGGGTCGGACAGATCTTGCCTTGGGAGGGTCCTGCTCAGCTCCTCCTCATGGCAAAACTGGAGCTCCTGCCTGCTCCTCCTCCTCGCGTGCAGCTTTAGCACCTGCGACCGAGCTTTTGCCAAGGCTACCGTTGCCATCAGTGGAGCTGGGAACGTTTGTGGTAGTGTTTCAGAAAATTAACATCTACTTTAGTTAGAGGTGCAAATAAAGGGAGGGAAATGGAGCCAGGAGGCCAGTTTCTTCCCTTAGTTGCTTGTGTGGACTTGGCCCGAGACTTTGTGAACAGAGTATTTTTGCATTCAGATTCTGTTGAGGATGTTGGTTAATCTTTCAGCAGCTTGTTTACTTAAATTAAGCCCTAATTAACTTAAGAAGCTTTCTTTGGCATTTAATAGTTTATCAGAGTAAAAGATTACACTGCCAAATCACATTCACATTTGTAACTGAGTTGTATTTGAGGTGATAAAACTTGAGATGCCACATGTGTCACTTAATATTTAAAAGCACTTTATCAGGAAAAAAAAAAAAGGCACTTTATTGTCAATGCCATGAGGAGAGCTGGAAGAGCTCGTGGATATCGGGTGCCTGGCATGAGCGTGGCCCAACCAGGGAGGCCCGTGGGAACTGCATGTGGTCCTGATGCCAGTGGCAGCTCCCGGGCAGAGGTCCCTGCCGCCACCAACGCAGCCCCGGGGCCAGTTCGGGCATTTATAGTATGTGGTCTATGTGCGTTCAGAATTGTTCATGTTGCAAGTATCAGAAACCATCAAAAATAGTTTAGAACTGTGACCAAAGAAAAGAAAGTATTGCTGACTCTTGAATAATATCCTGTGTTCCTGATGCCAGCGGCAGCTCCCGGGCAGAGGTCCCTGCCGCCACCAACGCAGCCCCGGGGCCAGTTCGGGCATTTATAGTATGTGGTCTATGTGCGTTCAGAATTGTTCATGTTGCAAGTATCAGAAACCATCAAAAATAGTTTAGAACTGTGACCAAAGAAAAGAAAGTATTGCTGACTCTTGAATAATATCCAGCGGATGTCTCAGAGGAGACAGGAAAAGAAGTGGCTGAATTAATTATCTACTACTAAATATTTGCTCAGCTCTATCCTTCACCAACAGTGAAGGTGAAGAAAATGTAAGTACTGTAGAAATTCAGGGAGAAAAGTACTAGAACTGCTAGCTAAATAAATCCATGTATTATCATCGTTTAATGAAATAAAATTGCTGTATTTTTGCAGGCTTGCTAAATTAACTGGAAAGAAAATGTATTGAATAATCCAGTGTATGAATAAAAGTGAATAAACAAACACACTTTGGTTCCTCATAACTAAGAGTGTGTGTATTCAGCATTGGGTTGTTTTTTTTTGTTGTTGTTTGTTTGTTTGTTTTGGCTGTTTTGCACTCTAGCATCTTTCACTGCCTCATACTTTATTTCTTAACTGCCCGCTTTGCATCCCCCAGGTGCTCTAGTGGCCTGTGGGCCCTGTTCCGGGAGCTGCCCGAAAGGGGCTGCGACGCTCGCGGGAGGACGCCGGGGAGCTCCCGTCGAAGCTGCTGCCAGGTGGGTGAGCCCCAGGTTGCTGCCAGCTCACGGGAAAGCGCCTGCAGAGGAAGCCCCTTCCCGGCAAGCAGCAAACCTCCTTCTCTAGGGGCTGCGACAGGAGTAGGTGCTTTCTGAAGCAGGCAGATGCTTCTTTCAAAGCTGTAAGCTCATCCTGTGGAAGGGCTTGTCTCTGGGCTGTGGCAGTCCAGCCTCTAGTGTGTGCTGGAATCACATAGACCAGCTCTCCTCTAACATCACCTGGCTCTAAAGACACTTCTCCTGCTCTATTTCCAGATTTTGTTTTGCAAGGCTGCAGTTAGGATATAGCAAATTACTTGGCATCCTCTGTTTTACAGAATGGAAAATACACAGTAACACAAAGCCATAGAGCCATATCCTCTGCAAAACCCCCAAGCCCTCCACAATTAGTCCTCAGCAGGCACTGCAGCTTCTGATTGAAAAAACTGGTGTTTCCAGGTGTGGGCCGAAACAAAGACAAGTGCATCTTGCCTTGACTCCCTGTTACAGATTTGTCTGTACTGCCACTAAACTCAAGAATGCCACAAAGTCACACATGTAGCAACCCCTAATGGCGTCCTGCTCACGGTTAACAGTCACAAGTAGCGCTTCAGCTCTCACGGAGCAGTTGGAGCTCCGGTCTCAGAGGGGAAACCAAGGCCCTGCTTTCTGGCAGCTCAGTGGGTAGCTCTGCCACCCACTCTGTAGGAAGAGAAATGGCAATAACCTCTTTTCCTTTCCTCCTAGCTCTCCCATTCACCATAACTAATTACCCCGATTGTAATGGCTGTTATTTGCTCTAAGCAGATCCTGTTCCTCTTCCTGGGAAGATGTGAATAGCTACAGCTGTAATAGTCCTAGTGGAGGGAATATTGCTCTTAAGATGTCCCTGCTTCTCTTTGTTGGCTCCAGAAAGAGCTGAAACACTTCTAGAGAGTTTAGAAGAGATATTTAGGTAACGTGTTCCTATATTAATGGGACCACTAATCTAAAGCCAGCATCATTCAGACATGACTCTATCTGCAAGGCATGTGTCTGCCTTACTGAACACGGTGTGACGTGGGGCACAGTGACGCCTCTGCGGGAGGTCTGATTCATGTGCTCGGAGCTACCTCGTGGTGCTAGACACCACTGCTCGATATAGAGAGGTCAGAGCTTGGAGTGAGGGGGTCAGACAGGTTTCCCAGGAACAGAAGCTGTCCTTGGCTGTCAGTCTGCCACTGAAGCTCGCCACGCTTAAGGGTATCTGAGCCGAGCCAAAAGCCAGAGAGGGACAGAAGCAGCCCCAGTGTCTCCTGGCCCCATGCCAGTCTGTGCTTCCGCATGCCTCTGCGTTTGGAGGCTGTAGAGCTGTCACCTCGGCACAGAGCAGCCCTAAATTACCCTCCCAGCCCTAATTACTCCTCTGACAGCAGGGCTGTCAGCTCCTGAGCGAGTCGTGGTGCCCGTGGCTTTCTGCTTGTCTGCATCGCCCTGACAAACTGCGGGCAGCATCGAAACAATCTACATTAATGCCTGCCCTCTGTTGCTGGGTTTTACAGCAGCATGCCCCAGCTAGCACTTTGTGTATGCACTTCCCTGTCAATAGTATAATCTGTCTGGGCATCGCATCTCCCAGACATGCCTAATTTAACAGGGATTTTCTTTGGACCCTAGATAATACATCACTTGCTATGCGTAGTCGGCCAGCCCCGTTGTCACCGCTTGCCTTGCCCCGATGTGAGGCCTGCACCATGCCATGGGTCTCCGCAGTTTCAGGGTACACACTCACAGGGTGCCGGCAGAAAGAAGCTCTCCCACAATCTCATTTTCTCCCTCCTCCCCAGTTGCTGCCAATTAACAGTGTGGCTGCCTTGTCTTGCAGCTTGTGTTCCGTACACACATGTCCGGATATGAAAATACTACCTGCAAGTGGGATCCCATGTGTTTACCTGTGGGGAAGCTGCCTCTGGCTGCTTCAGGAAAGCCATGGCTTTCCCTGGAGTCACTAAGGCACTGGCTGGGCACCATCCCACCCTCCCGGGGTACCAGAGGTGCTCAGGGAGCTGCCTTGCCAGCAGTCGCTCTGCTTTCCATAGCCCCTAAAATCACCCCAAAGTAGCACTCAAGGCAGAATCACCTTGACTTTTAGAGAGGCTTTAAAAGCCTTGCACCCACTTCACATCATGGAGAGAGAGGGATGGGGGACCAGTGTGTGAGGGAAAAACCAAGAGGAGACACCACAGTTTTCTGTGGGCCTGAAGCGCTCGGACATGGAGGCAAAGGCTCCCCACAGGGCCTCTCTGGCAATGATCACTGCTTCCTGTGCCCATAATGCGGGTTTATGGGTCTGATGCTGTTCTCCAGTTGCTTTGCTGGTTTATGCTCCAGTGCGGAGCTACACTCACTGGTTTATTTTCTTTAATAAATACACTCCGTTTTAAACGGTGCTAGATGTAACCCCTTGCAAATTTAAACCCCAAGACTAGGGATGCTGTAGGGGAGCAGCGCAGACCTAGGTGAATGCCCCAGGATGCGCCCACCGCTCTGAGCATCCCGCGCCCT